GTGTCAGTGTTGGTTCGTGTCATTTGAGCTATCATATTGTTGATATTTGCTTGAAGCTGTTCATTCCACAACTTCTGCTTGTCATACTGGGAATCGATATATTGCCTGATGGATCCGATGATCGATGTAGCAGATGCCCGAATTGCCTCATCAACGTAAGCTTTTACTAGGGATCAATGAGTGCTTCAGGCTTAGGACCATCTGGCATGGCAGCCGGGGCTGGTGTCGTTGGGGCCAGTTGTAAAATCGTGCACGGTTCCTTGTTGCCGTCACGTGGGTTTGACTCTGCGTTGCTGTTCATGTTAGGTTGTGTAAACGAATGTGTACAAAATTGTGAGTCCCCCTTTTTTTTTAAAAAAAAAAAATTATCTAATCTTTTGCTTTTTTTTTTTTTTTTTTTTTTTTTTTTGTTTCCTTTTTTTTTTTGACTGCCCACGTGAGCTTTGCGGTCACTCGGGATATTTATTCGAGAAAATTGTTTGCCGAAGACTATTGTGTCGAAGTGGGAAAGAGTGCTGAAATCGACTTTTCTTTGTCGGCTGTTTATATATCGATCGTGGTCGGTGGCTTATTTAATTACGTATTTCTGGCTGCGTGTTGATTCATGCAATTCAATTAATTGATTAATTAATTAATTGATTATTAATTGATTCGTTCTTTGATCCCGATTCCGCCATTTGCCCCATGATTTGAGGGCCCAGGTTGTAGCACGTGGCGAATAACCCTGACCAATTCTTCCCTTTCTTTTCGATCCGTTGACCCTTGTCAACATGCATTAACAAGTAAACCTATGGCGTTAGTGACGTTCCTATTGGTAAATATTTTAATAGAAGTTTATTTATAAATATACAAATACATTATTTACAGTATTTTATTTTAATGTTTAGATATTAGATAATTTTAAAATATATATTTATCAAGTGCAACTGAATATATTATTTAAACTTCAAATTTTATCTTAATACTGAATAATTTATTAGATTACGTATTCATCTACCCTTTATATTTTTAAAAATATTAAAATTTAAATATATAAAAACACTTATTATTACTTGTTAGCAAAAAAAGAAATAATAAAGTATTCTGTGGTCTTGAATAACTACAACTTTGTTTAAAAATATTTATTCTCACTTATTGAATCAATGAATAAATATGCTTTGATTAATAACATCCTTTATATTTATATTAACATATATCTCAAACTTGAAATCTCTCACATAATAAAATATTTAATTACAACTTGCGTAGATAATCTAAAACAAGTGCCCTCGATATGAGCCTGTTGAAATAGAAAAGCATCCAGTCAAAAGACAGAATGCTGATTACGGTTGATATTAGGAAACAAAAAATTTAGATAGTAAATGATTAATTGTGGGAAATTTTAACATTACCACAATTTATAAAATGAAGATTATTGCGTCTAACAATACTTTTATTTTTTATTTTTTTTAAGATTTAAATTATGAGAATTTACTTTTAATATAAAATATTCTGGTATGATACGTTTGAATTATGATAAAAACTTTTGCAATGCACGATTAGCAAAAGATATTCATAATTCAAGATCCAAATTGCTATAGTTCTGGATTCGAAATAATCTCGATTATTGACTCGAAATTCAAAAATTCATTCATTAACAATTAGAATGAATTTTTGTTTTTAGTTATTCGTTAATCACCTACCATCGTGTAATGATACGATTTTATAAACATAATGTGGACATCAGGTAAATAAATAACACGAATCCAATTTTATTTTTAAGTTATCTTTTTTAAGATTCAAAAAAGTTTCTTGTTTATATTATTATAAAAACAAATTTGTCTTTTCAAGACTAGTTTAAATATATTTACAATGAAATGTATTTAATATAATGCTAATGTTAATTTTTATTAATGGATTTTACGGTTTTGATTAATATAACCATTTTCATAGATATTTGGTAATTTAACAGTCTATAGCATTAGACATTTTATCTAATGAAGGCATGATTCGCTTTGACATGTGTAGTGTCGATTATTTCAAATAAAAAAAAAAACATATGCATTACAAAATTAGTATATTGTTTATAATAATTATTGATTATTTTTTGGTTTTATGTATTTATATAAAGTCGATTTGCTAATTGTACAAGAGAAAAGTTTATTTCGTGATTATCTATTGATAGAGATCCGGGAGATTAATATAAATGTAACCTTATCATTATTAATAGTAATCAACCACATTTAAATATATATTTAATGAAAAGACGACTTAAAGGTTACATATGAGGGAAAATGGGACTTCAATCATAAATTTTATATATTGAGACCCATTTTTCCTTAGTGTCACTAATATTTATAACAAATAATCATTATCAACAAACTCTTACGTTAAAATGAAATGAAATGATGAAAAAGATGTTTTTTGAATGAACATCAAAAGAAAAATTTATGGGCTCGTCGCATTAACTTTGTATGTCTAAATAATTTTCAAGATTATGCATGGCTTACACGGTAAGGCACTTACAATGAGTCCTTTTGATGGTTATAATTAGGATGATAGTTAGAATTGTTATTTTTTTCGTGAGGTTTCTTATAAAAAAAAATTCTTAAAGATTTTTCTTACGATCGATATATACTATTAACAATTGTCAGATATTCATATTAGTAATAATGCATAAATCCTAGCACCGTAGAATCAAAATTTCTTTTTGAAATTCCGTACTAACTTACAGTATCGTATTGTTTATGAATTATCAGGGATTTGTATATCGATAGGTTTACTGATATAAATGTTATTCGGATGTATTGGTGATTCAATATTGGGTTTAATTTTATCAGCTTCTAAAAATTGCTCTTTTATTTCGTTTCCATCACCAGAGCTTTCTATTTCCTCAATCCAATAAGTGATCAATGCATTAATTGATCGGATAGTAGGTCGATTTTTCGGATTCGAATCCATACATCGTTTGGCTAATTTAATATAACAATTAGGCGTACCCGATGTAAATTCTGGTCGTAATCCAAGGCAAATATTTATCGCAAGTTCATCAAAATTATAACCATCGAATGCCTTTCTTCCTGTTGATATTTCCATCATAATAATGCCCAATGCATAAATATCAACTGCTTGTGTATATGATTTTCCTTGTAAAATCTCTGGTGCCATATAAGGCAAAACTCCACATACTTCTTTTTTTGCATTAGAGAGCCCCAAATCTGTAATATATGCATTATCTAATTCGTCTTGCAGAATATTTCCACTATGAAGATCTCGATGTTCTAATCCTTGCGAATGAATTGCTTCAAGATCTGATGTTATGCAACTTAGTAAATTTAACTTTTCTTCCCACTTCATTTGTGATACTTCGTGAAGGTTATTACGTAGAGCACCCCTCTCTGCATATTTCAAAATTAGAATATAATTTCCTGAATAATCTCTTGATAGCCCGTAGCATTTTAAGAATGATGGATTTTTATATCCGATCTCGCAAAATGCTTTTAACTTTTTTTTTTTTTTAAAAAAAAAAAATGTTAATATAAATTCAAATATTAAACAAAGCTCAATAAATTACCTCTTCGATAAAATCTTGATTATAAATTTTTTTAATTGCGAACGAATATTCACCATAAGTATCCTTATAATTAATTAAACATTTGGCATGATAAACAGTTGCAAATCCACCCCTCCCAATTTCTTTAATGTTTTCAAATTTATTATGTGGAATCCATAATAATTGATATCTTTCATCATCCAATATTTTTTTCACATTGTCATCAATATCAGAATAAGAAAATTTCTTTATTTCTATTTATTATTAAATTCAATAAATATCAAATTTTCGCGAAATTTCACAAAATAGAAACAGAAAAAAAAAAACCTTGGAATTTGTTTTTCTCCCTATATTTACAATTATTAAATAATTAGTACCCTATATAAACTTTTTCAAAAAAAATGGAACTTACATCCGAAACCAATATTCGGCCTCTTTCAAATCTTTTTTTGTTCCAATACCATTTCGATAACAATATCCAACTTTTCTTATTCCATCAACTAGATCAAATTTAGCAGATTTCAAGTACAATTCAAAAGCTTTTTTCAAATCCTTTTTAACTCCGATTTCATTTTGATAACATTCTCCAAGACCATAAATTGAACAAATATTTCCCATTTCAGCAGCTTTTTGATAGTAAAAAAATGCTTTATTTTCATCTTTTTTAACACCTTCACCAAGTTGATAAAGATTTGCAACACTATTCATTCCATGTTGGTTTCCCATGTCTGCAGATTTTTGATAATAAAAGAATGCCTTATGTTCATCCTTTTCAACTCCAATTCCATTCCGATAACAATGTCCAACTTGAGATATTCCAGCAGAATCACCCATATCAGCAGATTTTTGAAAATAAATGAATGCCTTATGTTCGTCTTTTTCAACTCCAATTCCATCTCGATAACAAACGCCAACATTACATGTTCCTTGAGCATTACCCATATCTGCTGATTTTTGAAAATAAATGAATGCCTTATGTTCGTCTTTTTCAACTCCAATTCCATCTCGATAACAAACGCCAACATT